GGGGCTGGTACTAAGTGGGTGGCAAACACCTATACCACCCAAAACTGCTCTCAGAATCTCACTTTCCAATTGGGGATGGGATGATACCACCATCCACCACCCGCAGAGCCCACATGGGTTGGAAGGGTTTCTGACCCCATGTGTAAAGAAGGGCTGGCAGTCAGACAGGTAGATGTCACTCTTAGCTCTTTCCGTATTTATTATGTGACCTTGGTCAATGCTTTCCCCTCTGTGTCTCAGTGGCCTTCACTGTAAGTGGCACAGTCAGATGAAGTGACTTTGAAGGGCTCTTACCTTCCAGCCTTCTGCGAATCTGTAATTCTCTGATGCCAGCCACGAATAAGCTTAAACGGGGTGAATGGGTAGTCAGACCAGTTCTTTGACTTTTCTACATACCTGAGCTTATCGTGACTTAATCACTTTAATTTTAAAAATTCTAAAATGAGGAGCAAGGCTGTATGTTTTCCCCATAAAGAGATTTGCATATTTTATATTCACTTTTTTTTTTTTTTTGAGACAGTGTCTCACTCTTTCACTCAGGCTTGAGTACAGTAGCTTGATCTTGGCTCCACTGAAGCCTCCGCTTCCTGGGCTCAAGCAATCCCCCTACTTCAGCCTCCTGAGTAGCTGGGACTGCAGGCACATACTACCATGCCAGGCTAATTTTAAAAATTTTTCCTAGAGATGAGGTCTCACTATGTTGGCCTGGCTGGTATCCTGGGCTCAAGCGATCTACCTGTTTCAGCCTGCCAAAGTGCTAGGATTACAGGCATGAGCCACTGCACTCAACCTATATTCACTTTTTGAGGTTCAGTAAGAAATATCTGTTAAAACATAAAATAAATATAAATATAAAAATGCCGTTAAGTAAAACTTTTCCTCCTATTTTTTCTCATTCAAATTCCCTTTTCATAGAACAGATTGAGTTTTAAAATAGCACCACTTACCTGATTATTATGCATTTAGTGCATATCTAATTCTTAGTTCTGCATTGGAGGCTAAGGAAAAATAAATTTTCCACTCCTTAAATTTTTCTTTAAATAAAAATATGTCTCTGATTTAGAAAATTTAAATACAGGAAAGTAGAAAAGAGAAAATAAAAACCATGGACAATATCACCAGCAGTTAATATTTTGGTGTATTTTCTGTAGACATATATAATCAAATAGTGTGCACTTTGACTACTGCTTGTTTTCATTTAAGAATATGTTGCATTTTCCAATGTCATTAAATTACCTTTGAAAATGTGATTTTTAATGCCTGAATAGTATTTCATCAAGTGGTTATCATAATTTATTTCACAATTTCCTCCTGCTGAATATATGCTTACCCCAACATTTCTTTATTATAAATCACATGATGGTTGATATTCTTGCACATAGCTCTTTGTGTGTATCTCTTATTTCCTTAATGTAAAGTGCTGTCAGGAGAGAGAAATGTGTTCTTAAGGTCACTTTTGCTGTATCATGGCCTCTTTACGTGCAGGCAGCTGACTTCCCAGATGCCCAGCTCTCCTATTCCACAGTCGCCTCAAATCATGTTATTAAAGCAAATTAATTTCTACTGCAGCTAAAAATTGCTTGTTTGTAAAATGTCCAACCTGAGAGAAAAGTCACATCCCTTTTCAAAGAAAAGGCTTAGAACTTTAGTAACAGTACTATTTATCTAGTAATCACTAAGTATGCTTTAAAAAGTAACAAATGTTCAAGAAAAATTGGTTTCTTTTTTGACTCTTAGCCCTTGCTTTATCATCAATATGTGGTTTAGATAGGATGTTTTTATAATTCATTCTGAATCTTTTTCTTCACTTAATTTAAATTATGCACTTAAAGTAGCTTTGGTTCTTTATAGTACATGCTGCTATTTTTTTCATTTGAAATTTAAAACTATACACTTATTGATAAAAGTGAGCTTAAAATTACAATGATTTTTATTACTTTAAAATTATCTCTGATTACTGTCAGGATATATAGATATGTTTTTTATACTGATAATTGGTGTACACACTATTTGGTTTTCTGCTTCTGTTACTGTAGTATTTTTAAATTTCTATTTCCATGCATCAGTACTGTCAAAATATTTATTTTAAGTGACAGTACAATAATAATTCACATTTTTTGAGCTGTCGTGCCAGGCACTATGCTAAGCACTTTGCATTCTCACATTTCACCCTCACAGCAGCCCTCTGAGTTAGGTGCTATTGTTATCTCTATTTTTGAGTTTGGGAAACAGTGGGACAGGGAGGTTACGTTCTTTGTCCAAAGTCAGCGTACTAAGTAGCAAAGCTGGTTTCAGACCGAGGTGTGGCTGATTGATGAGGTGAGAAACTACACTCCCTTGATTTTTACGCTTAAACTGGTTACCTGTCTTTGCATGGACCCCACAGGAAAACAGAAGAAGCAGGAACAGCCAGTGGAAGAGGTGTTAGAAGAGCTACGGGCCAAGCTAAAGTGGACCCAAGGGGAGCTGGAAGCCCAGAGGGAGGCCGAGAGGCAGCGGCAGCTCCAGGTGGGCAGGGAGAGAAAATATCAGGGAGACTTGGGTCATCCCAGGAGGCCCCTGGTGCACATGAGTCCCACAGGGCAAAATTTCCAGCTGGTTTCCCAGAGCTGGGAATCAGAGCTGGGACAGATAATGCCTTCTCGAACACAGCAAATGATTTTAGGTAGTCTGGAAAGGAAAATTGAATTATTTTTGCCAGACTTTTGTGGACGAAAGTAGAGCAGAGGGATGCAGTTTCCTGCATTAGTCAGCAGCCTCTGAGGATGTTTGAACCTGAATTTTAGCTTTGTACACAACGCTGTTAGTTAACTTTTTGAGGACAAAGACTGGGTTTGATTCTGAAAGCTCCAGAACCCAGCCCAGATAAAATGCTCAGTAAATGTTTGTAGAATGAAAATACATGAAGTTGCCCTGCTCATTCCTTCATTATTCATTCCCTCAGCATGCATTTATTGAGCACCAGCTGCATAGTTGGTATTGTGACGAATACAGGCATACCTCATTTTTTGTGTGTGTTTTGTGTGTTTCACAGACATTGTATTGTTTGCACGTTGAAGGTTTGTGCCAACCCTGTGTTGAGCAAATTTATCAGCATCATTTTCCAACAGCATGTGCTCACTTCATGTGTCTGTGTCACATTTTGGTAATTCTCACAATATTTCAAACTTCTTGATATTATTATATCTGTTATGGGGATGGATCTGTGATCAGTGATCTTTGATGTTACTACTATAATTGTTTGGGGGTGCCACAAACTGTCCATATAAGATAGCAAACTTACTCAAACATCTCTTACTTTAAATCAAAAGGTAGGGCCGGGCGTGGTGGCTCACACCTGTAATCCCAGCACTTTGGGAGACTGCAGTGGGCGGATCATGCGGTCAGGAGTTTGAGACTAGCCTGGCCAACATGGTGAAACCCCGTCTCTACTAAAAATACAAAAATTAGCTGAGTGTGGTGGCACACACCTGTAATCCCAGCTACTCGGGAGGCTGAGGCGGGAGAATTGTTTGAACCGAGGAGGTGGAGGTTGCAGCAAGCCGAGATCATGCCATTGCACTCCAGCCTGGATGACAGGGCTAGACTCTGTCTCAAAAAAAAAAAAATCAAAAGGTAGAAATGATTAAGTTTAGTGACGAAGGCATGTTGAGAGCTGAGATGGGCTGAGAGGTAGTCCTCTTGTGCTAAACAGCCAAGTTATAAATACAAAGTTATGAATTTCAAAGTTGTGCCTTGAAAGAAATTTGAAGCACTACTCCACTGAACGCACAAATGATAAGAAAGTGCAACAGCCTTACTACTGAGATGGAGAAAATTTCAATGGTCTGGATAGAAGATCAAATCAGCCACAAAATTCCCTTAAGCCAAAGCCTAATCCAGAGCAAGGCCCTAACTCTATTCATTTCTATGAAGGCTGAGAGAAGTGATGAAGCTGCAGAAAAAAAGTTGGAAGCTAATAGAGGTCGGTTCATAGGTTTAAGGAAAGAAACCATCTCCATAACAATGAAAGTGCAAGGTGAAGCAGCAAGTGCTAATGTAGAAGATGCAGCAAGTTATCTGGAAGATCTAACTAAGATACTTGATCAAGGTGACTGTACTAAACAGATTTTCAGTGTAGAAAAAACAACCTTCTATTGGAAGAAGCCATCTAGAACTTTTGTAGTTAGAGATAAGTCAATGCCTGGCTTCACAAGTTCAAAGAACAGGATGATTCTCTTGTTAGGGTCTAATACAGCTGGCGACTTTAAGCTGAAGCCAATGTTTATTTGCCAGTGTGAAAATTCTAGGGCCCTTAAGAGTTATGCTAGCTCTCTCTACCTGTGCTCTAGCAATGGAACAAGGAGGTCTGGATGACAGCACAGCTGTTTACAGCATGGCTTACTGAATATTTTAAGCCCACTGTTGAGATATACTGCTAACAAAAAGATTCCTTTCAGAATAATTACTGCTTATTAACAATGTTCCTGGTTATCTAAGAGCTCTGATGGAGATGTACAGGGAGATTTGTGTTGTTTTCAAGCCTGCTAACATGATGTCCATTCTGCAGCCCATAAATCAAGGAGTAATTTTGACTTCCAAGTCTTATTATTTAAAAAATACATCTTGTAAGGTTATAGCTGTCATAGATAGTGATTCTGAGCAAAGTAAATTGAAAACCTTTTGGAAAGGATTTGCCGTTCTGGATGCTATTAAGAAGATGTGGGATTCTTTGGGGGAGGTCAAAATAGTAACATTAACAGGAGTTTGCATGGAATTAATTCAAGCCATTGTGGATGACTTTGAGGGATTCAAGACCTCAGTGGAGGAAGTAACTGCAGATGTGGTGGAAATAGCATGCAAACTCTTCTTAGAAGTGGAGCCTGAAGATGAGACTGAATTGCTGTGACCGCGATAAAACTTTAATGGTTGAAGAGTTGTTTCTTATGGATGAGCAAATAAAGTAGTTCTTTTTTTCCCCAAATCTCTGTTATTGGGGGTAATGGGTCTCTTGGGGGTCCTCACTGCACAGCTTGTTCATTGGCACTGCTTCCCAAGTCCTGGGGCTTCATCGCATTGGGCAGCTTGGGCGGGCTGTAGAATAGCTCGATGCACAGGCCCCCAAAGGTGTCATCCACCTGGAAGGCCAGCCCCGCTGTGGCTGGGGCCTGTGGCCATGCTGTTTGGCTGGTGAAGTCACACTCACCCAGTGTCTTGCCATCATCCAAGAGTTGGTCATCCTTGTACAGCCACTGCTCTTCGGGCAGCCACTTGAGGATGCCCTTGACATTGCGCTTCATCTTGAACATCCTGCTGGATTCCTTGGCGTCTGTGAAGATGGTGGTCTTGTGGCACCAGATCATGAGGAAAATGTCCTGTGGGTGGTGGGCTGGCGTGAGGGTGAAGCCCAGGCCCCCTGTGTGTCCCCCAAATAGTTTCTTGAGATGGAATCTACTACTGTCGAAGATGCTGTGAACATTGTTGAAATGATAAGAAAGGATTTAAAATATTACATAAACTTAGTTGAGAAAGCAGCAGGAAAGTTTAAGAGAATTGACTCTGATTTTGAAAGAAATTCTACTGTGTGTCAAATGCTACCAAACAGCATCTCATGCTATGGAGAGATCATTCATGAAAGGAGGAACCAATTGATGTGGCAAACTTCATTGATGCCTTTTTTTTTTTTTCCCGACAGTCTTGCTCTGTCATCCAGGCTGGGATGCAGTGGCATGATCTCAGCTCACTGCAACCTTCGCCTCCTGGGTTCAAGTGATTCTCCTGCCTCAGCCTCCCTCGTAACTGGAATTACAGGCACGTGCCAGTACACCTGACTAATTTTTTGTAGTTTTAGTAGAGACTGGGGTTTTGCCATGTTGGCCATGTTGGTCTCGAACTCCTGACTTTAAGTAATCCACCCGTCTCTGCCTCCTAAAGTGTTGGTATTACAGGTGTGAGCCACCATGCCTGGCCTATTGTTGTCTTAAGAAATTGCCACAGCACCCCAACTCTGATCAGTCAGCAGCCATCAATATCAAGACAGGACCCAGCACCAGCAAAAAGATTATGACTCACTAAAGGATCAGACGATTGTTAGCATTTTTTAGTGATAAAGTATTTTTTAAAAATTGTATTATTATTATTTTTAATTTTCTATAAGTTATTGGGGTACAGGTGGTATTTGGTCACATAAGTTCTTTAGTGGTGACTTGTGAGGTTGTGGTGCACCCATCACTGAACAGTATACACTGCGCTGTATTTGTTATCTTTTACCCCTCGCGCCCCTCCCACTCTTCCCTTCAAGTCCCCAAAGTCCATGGTATCATTCTTTTGCCTTTGCGTCCTTATAGCTTAGCTCCCACATATCATTGAGAACATACAATGTTTGGTTTTCCGTTCCTGAGTTACTTCACTTAAAATATTAGTCTCTAATCTCATCCAGATCACTGCAAATGTGCAAATGTTGTTAATTTATTTCTTTTTATGGCTAAGTAGTATTCCATTGTGTGTGTGTATCTATCTATATCTATCTATCTATCTATATACACCACAGTTTCTTTATCTACTCATCAACTGATGGACATTTGGATTGGTTCCATGATTTTGCACTTGTGCATTGTGCTGCTATAAACGTGTGTGCAGGTATCTTTTCCAATAATGACTTCTTTTCCTCTGGGTAGATACCCAGTAGCGGGATTGCTGGATCAAATGGTAGTTCTAGTTTTAATTCTTTAAGGACTCTCCACACTGTTTTCCATAGTGGCTGTACTAGTTTACATTCCCACCAACAGTGTAGAAGTGTTCCCTGATCACCACATCCACTCTAATATCTACTGTGTTTTGATTTTTTGATTATGGCCATTCTTGCAGGTGTAAGGTGGTATCGCATTGTAGTTTTGATTTGCATTTCCCTGATCATTAGTGATCTTGAGCAGTTTTTTCATATGTTTGTTGGCTGTTTGTATATCCCTTTTGAGAATGGTCTATTCATGTCCTTAGCCTGCTTTTTGATGGGATTGTTTGTTTTTTTCTTATTGATTTGTTTGAGTTCGTTGTAGATTCTAGATGTTAGTCCTTTGTCAGATGTATAGATTGTGAAGATTTTCTCCCACTCCATGGGTTGTCTGTTTCCTCTGCTGACTGTGCCTTTTGCTGTTCAAAGGCTCTTTAGTTTAATTAGGTCCTAGCTATTTCTCTTTGTTTTTAAGCAATAAAGTAGTTTTAAATTAAGGTATGTACATTGTTTTTATAAATAAACCTATGGAACACTTAATAGGTTACTGTCTAGTATAAACATAACTTTTACATACGCTGGAGAGCAAAAATATTTATGTGACATTCTTGCTTTATTGTGATACTTGCTTTATTCCATACTTGGCTTTGTTATGATACTCACTTTATTATGGTGGTCTGGAACTGAACCTGTAATATCTCAGACATATGCCTGCATAGAGAAAAAGGAACAAGTCCCTATCTTCAATGAACTTTACAGTTCAAGTAAGACTGGCTTGGACTGGTCCTTCCAGCTCCAAACTACGGGAACTGTGGGATGAATGTCCTTTGGTCTCCGTAGTGACTTGCATAGACAAGGAGGCCTAAGCAGTTTCTTAGTAAATATTTGTTGTAATGTGGAATTAATCGTCTTATTGTTCTTGCTCTTCTTTGTAGGAAGCAGAGATCATTCATCAGAGAGAAATAGAAGCTAAGAAAGAATTTGATGAATGGAAACAACAAGAGTGGACCAAACTTTATGGGGAAATAGATAAACTAAAAAAAATATTTTGGGATGAATTTAAAAATGTCGCCAACCAGAACTCTTCACTAGAAGAGGTACTCAGTATAAAAGGCTTTTCAAAGTTCCTTTGTTGGAAATCTGCCTATTCTCAAAATTTATTTCTTTGTTTGTACTAGTTTTATTTCACTGCTGTTGGAAGCTAAAATACTGTGAGGCCAGTTATCAGAGGCCTGATATTAGAGACCCAGATATCAGAGGCCTGGGATTGAATCATTGCCATGTCACATACTGATTGTGAGACCTTGAATGAATTAGTTAACCTCCTCATCCCTCAGTTTTATTTCTATAAGATAGGCTGCCGAAAGGGTTAAATTAGTACATAAACAGTATGTAACATAATCTGGCATATAGTAATATATCAGTAGTATATCTGGTATATAGTAATATCTCTAGGTATTATCCTTATTTTTGCAAAGGGCTTTCATCACTGGACAAGAAATGGGGCAAAATTTAAATGAATGCATTTTTCTCCCAACAAATATTCCCTGAATCCTGGTTACATGCCAGACACTCTGTTGGGGTCTTCAGAGATCACATCTAATACATAACATTTATGGACTGTGTTTACTACTTTCCAGCTCCTATGCAGTATACTTTATATACACTAACTTTTAATCTTCTTAGCAATCAACCATACCATTCTCAAAATAGATGCATCACTAGTTTATTATTTTCTTATATATATGTATATTTTATTGCACTTTAGGCTCTGGGGTACATGTGTAGAACATGCAGGATTGTTGCATAGGTACATACATGGCAATGTGGTTTGCTGCCTCTATCCCCCTATCACCTATATCTGGCATTTCTCCCCATGTTATCCCTCCCCAACCTCCCTACCCCCCACTGTCCCTCCCTTATTCCCCACAACAGACCCCTATTACTTTCTTTTTTAAAGTTTTTTTAAAGCTATTTCCTGATGTTAGGAAGGCCAATGAAAACTAACTAATATATATATATATATATATATATATATATATATATATTTTTTTTTTTCTTTTGCTTCCCCCCACCCCCAAAAACTATATATATTTTGAAAATATTTTTTTCCTCAAAACTTTTTCCCTGATACGGAAGTAGGGAGCTTACTTTGGCTAAGTTACCTGACTAAAGAGAGAACTTTAGGTTAGACCTGGGGTAAATTTAAATGCCAAAGGAGTGTCTGGCTAAATGAAAATACCATGAGAATTTGTAATGCCAAGAAAGTCAGCTCTGTGGTGTGTCATAAGCTGCAACAGAACCTGGGAATTGTGCATACATCTGATCAAACTTCAAGGAGTTTAGAAATGGTTAACATTTGGAATCAGTATTGCTTAGCAATAGTTAAGAAATGTTAGCAAGAATGATACCAAGTTAAACTTAGGTGCTTGCCATTCTTTAAAGCCTTACTGGGACTTATGAGTTTTGTTGTTGTTGTTGAGATGGAGTCTTGCTCTGTCACCCAGGCTGGAGTGCAGTGGCACGATCTTGGCTCACTGCAACCTCCGCCTCCCAGGTGCGTTCAAGTGATTCTCCTGCCTCAGCCTCTGGAGTAACTGGGACTACAGATGCATGCTACCATGCCCAGCTAGTTTTTTGTATTTTTAGTAGAGACAGGGTTTTATCATGTTGGCCAGGCTGGTCTCAATCTCCTGACCTCAGGTGATCCACCCACCTCAGCCTCCCAAAGTGCTGGGATTACAGGCATGAGCCACCATGCCCGGCAGGGCTTATGAGTTTTATACAGTCATACAGATGGAAATATGTTGCTTTTGTTACTTCAACCATCATATATTTTAAGAAATAATCATAGGTGGGTGGAAAGGCAGCCTCTCTTTAATCCAGTTTTCTGTCCCTTTTCCTTCACGTCACACACACTGCTAGCCCAGGAATCAACAGGTGTTGATGACTCTACTCCAAGTTGTGCAAAGCCCTTTCTGGAGACAGCCAGGATGTTTTGTAGTGAGATAGGGAGGAGTCCTCAGGGAATGGCCTGGGGTGCCTGAGACCCTCCCACAGGCTCTAAGAGTCTGATTCTCATCAGTTTATTCCAGACTGAGGAAGAAATGGGGCAGCAGTCAGGAGATCTTGGGATTTTGAGTATACCAGAATTTAAGTGAAATGGAAACTACACTCTTTAATTTGTTCTTCCATGCAACTTGCTTTTTCTGTGCAAGGGCTGATCCCCCAGGAGAGCCTTCATGAAGGGGGCTGATTTGTATGAATATTTGTTGGTGTGTAAGTATCTAGTGAGAATGAATTGGGAGGATGAGTTGGGTAAGGTGTGTACCTCTGACACTGTTCCATATATAAAAGACAACATGATTAGGTCTTCATCTGAATAAAACTATGTCCTGGCCTTTTCAGAAACTGCGGGTGCTGCAGTCCCACAGTGTGATGGAATCCAACCTGGGATCACTGCGAAATGAGGAGTCTGAGGAGTGGCTCCGTCAGGCACAGGAGCTCCAGGCCCTGAGAGAGAAGGCAGAAATTCAGGTGACCTGATGCTCCATGCCCTTCTTCCCACAGGAAGCCAAGAGCTATCTTCTCTTCCAATATATTCTTTCATTTTTGTTCTATGAATGTAGAGAAGTTGAAGGACATCAGAGTTCTATATTTTTAGACCTTCTGCCAATACATGGAAGCATAGAATAGGGTTCACAGGTGAGGCTGGTGGTATGTGTGCAATGTCAGATTTGCCTAAGATCTTTTGAAAAATACATACAGCTCTGTCTCTTATTTGACACCTTTGCCCCATTCTGATTCTAACTCAGTCGAAAACAACTCTTAGAAAGTGTGACAGTCTCTTGGGTTGGAAGATATTTGGGATGCATTCAGTGTTGTGATGATAGTTGTTTAGCAGCCAGCTCTCTGGAACTAAAAAGCTTTAATTTGTAGCATTTGCCAATTTCCATGGTGTAAATATTTCCACCATGCCCAATTTCATGCTATGTGTGAGGTCACCGAATGGAGCTGGGAGGACTTGTGCACAGTCTGCTCTCACAGGTTGGTAGGAGGTGGCTCTGGCCACCCCTGCATGAATTTTACTGCGGTCTGGTTGAAAAATGGTCTGTGTCACTGATAATTCCATGGCAAAGAAGGGGAATCGGTACAGTTGTTAAATCATGTTGTTCTTCTCTTTCTGCTCTCCAGGATCCTTGAAAAAAAAAAACAAAAAACAAAACCAAACCAAGAAGTCTAGCTAACAATCAGCAGAACTGCTGATTGATGTTTTACAGGTTTCACGTTATAAAGAAGCCATTCTTTTCCCAAGAATTTTGTTCACATTCTTTACCTGTTTTTCTATTATTGTGAGTTTGTATAATGTATGGAAATTAACTCAGCCCTTTAGTTTTTCTATTTGTGGTCATTTTCCCCAGTATTCTGTTGGTCTTTGAATTTTGTTGATTCTGGCTTGGCCATACAACAATGAATTATGTTTATGTAGTCAAAATTGTCCAATTGTTAATCTTTCTTTATGGCCTTCCTCACTCAGATTTAAAAAGACAACATTCCTGTGTTTTCTTGTAGTACTTTTATGGCCTTATTTTTTGTGTTAAATCTTTGACCCACCGAAAATTTATTTTGGTTTAAGATGTGAAATAAGGATCCAGCTTCCTATTTTTTCCCAGGCAGCTAGCCATTTTTTCCAACACCGTAAGTCAATAATCCATCTCCCTCCCCTTAGTTTCCGTTTATTTCCATCTTTAGTCTGGATTTTCTATTCTGTTTCACTACTCTGTCTGCGTACCCATGAGCCAGTACTTTTAACTTCCTATAGCTTTATAACATGTTTTAATACCTGTAAGGGCCCGATTGATAAGTTTTTAATCTTTTTCAGAAAACGGAGTGGAAGAGAAAAATGAAGGAACTGCATGAAGAGCATGTGGCTGAGAAGAGAGAGGTAGCTCTTGTCGGGTGATCTCAGGGAGTTTGGTTTTCTGTGACCTCTGAGAATTCAGTATTCTCCACCTCCCACTCATCCACCATCTCCCCTATCTCACCTGGAACTGGATGGCAGAGACTTTGCTGCAGATATCACTCCTGGTTACCATTCCCATCAGGACACAGAAGAGGTTAGCTGCTCATCCAGCAGCTTCCCTGGCCAGGAGCAGGGGCCTCCAGGCCTTCTCCTCTGAACTGAACATATCCTTTGTTCTGTGGTCTTCTTTGCAGTGACCCCTTTAGGACCTCCAGGGAGGGTTGTGCCATAAGGCCCAGATGAATCACCTGGTGGTTTCATGTTTTGGCTCTTCTTTGAAACTTTCCTACCTAGGAGAGAACCAGTGGGCCTCAGTGATAGTTCAGTGGGAGTCCAAAGGGAAGGACTCAGATACTGAGAATGGTGAACAGGGAGCAGTGGGCCTCAGGGCAGAGCAAACAGCTTCTGTAAAAATGCCCTGAGCAGGAGGCAAGTTGAGGAGGACGCTGGTTCAAAAGAGCCCCAGAATGCCGCCTGCAAAAAGCTTAGAGGATGAAAAGGCTTAGATCAGTCTGGCCTGTGGTAGACACTGCTCACTCTGGTATAGGGACACATGATCACTCACATGTGATGGTTTTATTTTATCTGAAGTATTTTCAAATGGGAAATACATTCACATTTGTTCCCCAAATAGGAGAAATAGATTAAGATATATTGAGTAGAGTCTCATTCCCACCTGTAACCATCTACCTGTCCCCAACACCCACTGCTCAGATGACTTTTATGGCTTTCTTTTGTGTTCTTCTAAAGTTTCTTTATGCAAATATTAATAAATATATTCACTTTATCTCTGCCCTTACATCAGAAGTAGCATGTTAACTCGTTTT